CGTCAGTGAAGAATTTGATGGTCGAGTTCCAAGAACCCAAGTGTCCATCACTAAAGAAAAAACCCAAGGTATTTATCATCCAAACCTGCAGGGGGTCACTAGATCAAGTGTGCAAGAAGCCAAGCTTCCCAGCTGGTGAAGTTTTTTCACAGGCAGTGACATCGACGCCTACTGAGGAGGATGACGAACTTTACGATTCTTTTTTACCCGACTCCACTCTTCCGAGGAGTGTGTTTCCTCGAGAGTTTGATTTTGTCTTGGCCTTTGCTACTGTGCCAGGTTACGTATCATACCGGTCTCCAAAGGGCGGCACCTTCTTCATACAGGTGAGAAATATAAACATTTACTTGTCAGCTTTTTTCAGTAATTGTAATTCACGATGATCGAGAAAGCGCAAAGTGCCCTGAAGTTCTCATAGTTTGTTATCCTGGGTGCCAGGCGAATTTTTTCCGAGGTCCAAGAGTACGTCGCCAGCGACCAGAGAGCCGAGGACGGGGAAATACCTCTGGTGGAACCTCAGTTCCATGCTTGAATAGTGTCTGGTTTCTCATCAAACCAGTTTTGTCCAAACTGTTTGTTTTCATTCAAGTGTCACAGCAAATCGTATTACTTTACATTTCAAAGGAATATAGGCTGGCAAAAAAACAAAACAAAACAAGGCTCTACGAATCTCTTCCGTCGATACTAGTAGATTTTTTCGGATCTGCAACAGTAATGTATTGATTTAGAGTTTCGGGAAGTTTTATTTATTCTAAAAGAAAAGGAGACGCTATAACAGGACGTTTCGGCGTCACCTTGTCTCCATTATCAAATTCAGATTTAAGTCGCTCAGTTCAGCTATACACTGCTCAGGTGTTAACCCTTTCACTGCAAAATTTCCACAAAAAAAATACCGTTTTTAACTGTTAAATGAGTTTTTTTGGCTGCCATGACGCTAAATGGACCTTAGTTTTGCTGAGAAAGCTATTTTTTACCAAAAAGATAGATTTCCCCAAGATTAGGTACCAAAACGTACAATATTTTAATTTGGCGCACGCGTATAAGCCATATTTGGACCTTGGAAAACATTCCTCTGCACCCAGGGCACTATTTTGTGTAATTACGAAAGAACCCTTGTATTATATAAACCATTTTCAATTCATAAATGACTGCCAGTTATAAATTCTTTTGTAAGTATTGAAATTACCCTGACTAACTTCGTTTTTGAGTTGATAATTAAAAAGACTTTTTTTTCTCTCAAACGAGTTTAATGAGGCTAATTTAAATGCATACAAAAGAAATAAAATTGGGGGCCATTTATGAAAAGGTTCCATTTTGTACAGTCACAGTTCTTGAACAGGGCATTTGGCCTAGACCTGTGCATCTCTCCACCCAGATGTGCTGAAGAGTTTGATAATGACACACTTTTGCGATAAAGTAACACGCCTTTTAGGAGTAGTAGCAATAGTCTTAGTCAGGTCCTGCTAAATAACGGCAGTTAGCGCTGTTAGCACTGCTACGCGACCTTCGAAATCAAAACGCTCTTTACAATACACTTCGACGAATCAAACAGTGGTATCCTATATGGAATACTGGTCTGTAGAAACGTCTTCACACTCACAGCGAAAATGTCNAGAAGTCTGTTATTCAAGTCCCAGCTTCTATGCATACACTGACAAAATTTCTGTACTTGTGAAAGAGAACAGAGGCCGAGCCATTGCAAGTTGAGTAGGAGTTCGTGTAAGTAATCGGAGTATTTCGTAAGTATTCAGTGATCCCAAGAATTGTTCAAGTACACCGTAGAAAACTATTTCTAACAATCAGTCATGACACCTATTTTGTTCAAAAAATGGTGCAAAATCACAACTTTTAATATGTTAGCAATGAAAGGGCTTTAAACAATAATTTACGTAAAGGAGACGCACAACCAGCTCCTAGTTCAAGGGGCTAGGTCACAGTGTTTTAGGTAATTCCGTTTATCTTTGTCAACTGTAAGTCGCTACCTTGAAATTGGCTGAGCGACAGTCTTTTATTCAAAGGGCAATGATAAAACAAGGCTATTACACAAATCGACATAAACTTGAGAGAGCCAGGCTGCTAAGTTCCCAGTTTACCCGTTTCAATTTTCTCCAATTTTTCCCATCCACGCCCCCTTTTGTCTGTCCTCTGTCTCTTTTGAGTTCTTCTTCAGTATTAACTGGTTATCGTGATATCTCAGTTATTTCCATGACCAGCTGGTGAGATTCAAAATTGCCTAAAGTTGGATGACCTAGCCCCTTAAATTAATCAAACAATATTTTGCGAATTAAATAAATCAAGGAGATGANATGACCAGCTGGTGAGATTCAAAATTGCCTAAAGTTGGATGACCTAGCCCCTTAAATTAATCAAACAATATTTTGCGAATTAAATAAATCAAGGAGATGACAATCGAGTTGTCCTACACCTGTATGGTTAAAATTAATGTTCCTTTTACGATTACTTAGTCGATGTGAAGACCCGTCTTAAGCACAGAGCGATCCTGATGGGTTAAGTCCGTCAATCATATTCCTCAATCAGGAGAGGATGAAGGGAAAGACCATTTCCCCCATATAGACCTCCTTTCTAAGTCTATCCCTTTGAGGTTATTTTTAGACCATTCCCGGTTAGCATTATTGTGACACCATGTTGCTCACGTGGACAGTCTTAGCGCCTTTACACGCATGTTCATCGTTGCAGAAAAACACATCATATCCGTAGAAGAACTGGTGCCTGGAAAAAAGCCTGTATCGGGGATTGGCTTTCTTACTCGTCATCCTTCTTGCCCTCAATAGAACACCTCAATGGTTCGCGTCTCTGGGAAAGTGACCTAGCACCTTACAACACTTTTGATAGAACGTACAAGAAAGCTGCTGGCAGAGCTAGCCTATTAAGATCAATCCGTTCGTTGATCGACCAAAAATTCGCTGAAACAATCTATAAAACAGCGATCTTGCCTATTTTTACGTATGGCGGATCACTTGGTCTTGGCTGATCAGACACCAGGAAAAGTCTGATAAACAACATCGAACAACAACGTTTGAAAATTATTGGTAGCAGCAATCTAAAACTACCATCAGCAGAGAACTTAATTCGGCGCAGAAGCAGTCAGTTTGTCTTTGACTGTCTTCAAAATAATGCTGGTTTGCACCCCCTTTAAGACCTACTTTGAAAGATCAGTTCACCCTAAGAACACAAGGAACAATGGAATATCAGTGAAACTACCTAAAGCTCGCCTTGAATTTGGGAAGAAGGGCTTTTACTATCAACTCAACGTGAGCCGGCTAGCTCGCGACATGACTGAAATTAATCTTAGCTTCTCAGTTGTTCCGTTCAATTCCGTTCAATTAGGCTAGGAATATATTTAGTTTTATATTAGATGTAAATTACGTTTTTACGAACGGTTTAAGTTACGTTTTATTCATATGTAAATAACTTTGTCTATTTGTATTTAGTTACGACTTAAATAGTGTCCCCAATTAATTTATTAAAAGCTAAATACCTTGACACTTAAACAAAGTCCTAATACTGCTACTGCATTATTCCGGATTACGTTTGCCTCTTTCAAACTATTTTTTAGCGTTCGGAGGTTATTAGTCAACTCCTGTTCAGGTTTATTTACCTCTTACTTCTAGAATTGATCAAGGCTGCATGTCTCTGTCAACCTTCCCTCAGTTCACTTTGCAATTGTTATACCAAAACTGTTTTTTTCGCATCAGGCTAAGGAAAATCTTCTAATTTTTTTAAACTTTTTGATGACCGTTATTTCTTCTGCCAATTGAAGCCAAGGAAGTTTGTCCTTCCTTGTGTAGGAGCGCTCCGTGTTTAATTTGTGGAAGTTTAATACTTTGAAATAGTTTTGCGCACGAAAATTTAGTTGATTGCGGTTGTTGTTGTTTTTTAATTTTGGACGTTGGCAAAATTTGATATAGGACTTACGCTGTACAATTTGGGCTTAAATGGAAAAAATGGTTGGCTACGCCCCTGCAGACCTTTATAGCAGGCGATTGTAATTTTCCAGCGCTCCCTGTTTCAGCAGAAAAGCCATAACAACGAACGAGACTACGAACGACAAAACTGAATTGTAAATAAATAAACCGTTAACCGTAAAATCCGCCTCCAAATTGGACCCTCCAACTGGGTCAATAGAGTATTTTCCGGAAATGAGAGATCAATCAAGTTTAGTGTAAAAAGGAATGTGATGCTTTTCAATCAATAAAGCGCTTTGCATAATTATCAATTTTCGTAAATAAGTTTTGTGGTGGAGAGCTCCTTATAAAATTAATTTTGAATATGCCTCGTCTGTGAATTGGCAGCCCCTGTTTGTAGCTAGCGCTCAACCGATAAGTCGGTGGCTGTAGTTGAAGCTACGACAATCACAGACGAATCGAGAAGTGTCGGGCTTCGGAGAGAAGTATTTTACGGAGAATGAGACCACAGAAGGCGATGAAAGTTCCGATTAATGCTCGTTTATTTCTGCACAACGTATGTTGATTCTCGTAAACTGAAAATAATGATTATATAACTAAATAAACTAATGTGAACGTACAAAGACAAAAACTACACTAACTATAACCGAAAATAAGGTATAAATAAAGAAACTAAAACGATTTTAAAGGTCAAACTTGCATGCTGAATTCATATTTGGAGGCGGAACCCGCTAGTTACAAAACAACAATACTACAAGAAAAATACATGTTCCGCACGAAAAACGACAGAAAAATCTAACAAAATACGCAAGGTATAAATGCTGAACAATAATTTCTAACAGCTAGGGACCAATACACTTGAAATAAATGCACGAAATCCTAGCATTTGCCACGCTGGAATGCTCCTAACCTAAACACGTGGTCCCTCGAGAAACTTACTAAAAGCTTAATAATCGATGAAAAGCGAACCTAATGGAATATAACTAAAATAAACAAAACAATAAAACACTTACATATCTTTTCCGCGCAGTAATGCCTCTAGCTGGCTTATAAAGGTCCTTAAAATTCGACGATGATTCCTACAACAACATAACACCGACGATCCTCTAACAGAAGTGCGACAACTAAGCAAGAACGTGACATGTCCCAAGAGTCATAGCGCAGCGAAGTAGATAAATGAAAGAAAAACAAAAGAAACACCGGAAATGAAAGGAAAACTAAATACAAAACCGTAACAGTGGCTTTGTTACGGTAAAATCAGGACATCCGCAGTGTTATTTAATTAATAAATTAAAGTAGTTGTCAGGGTTTAGTACGTGCAATGCTTCAGCGCGCAATGACTAATAAATAAATATGTTACAAAACGTTTCTGTTGTTGCTGTCTCTCTGCCGCACTTCAACTTAAACTTCATTTAATGCCGCGTTAGTGTAAAACAACTTTCGAACAGCCCCTGATATCGAATCGACACTCAAGGTTAACTTGTTATAGGAGACGTGGTTTTGACTACTACAATAAATAGCAAATTACTTACAAATGAAGCCGTCCTCTCTTCGATCGGCGATTGAACTTTTGACAGCACTTTAGCCTCTTCCAAGCTTTCAGTTAGTCGCTGCGGAGCAAAAAAATAAATAAATAAATAAAAAATAAGTAAATGAATAAAAAGAATGAAACGGCGGAGCGACAAAAGAGTCGCGTTTCTCACTTATACATGTATTGTTCATGTGCCAGTTTTCGCGCTGCACCCCAAGCATACAACTAACTGAACATCTGGAAGAGGCTAACCGCCCTTGGGCAACCAAACTTTTTATTGAATCGATAAGTCCAACTTTTCCATGTTTTTCTTGCCAAATAGGTACATTCCGATATTGTGCGCCTGATATCTTTTGACCCGGTATGCTGGCATAATTGTTGGCCGCGAATATGGATTTTTAATCAATTTTGTTGGTTAGTTTTTATTCAGTATAGCAACTAGCCAAACTAAAGGAAACAAACAGAATATGTAATTAGTTTAATTTCGTGTTTTGACTTGGTAGCAAAGGCATTAAAAACGAAAGAATAAAACTTTTACCTGTAATGCTTCAAAAAGTTCTGTGGTGCTGGAATTCGAAAAGCGAATGATTTTTAACCGTTATATACACAGAAACGCTGTCATTTTGTGAACAGAGTTTGGGAATCTAGGAGCATAAATTGCGAATTAACTTTGATAGCGTAGCTCCGGCGGCCCGAAGGGCCGCCAAGCGGAGCCCCATTCTCATATAGGAAAGAAAAGGAAACCCATGAGTTGTTTTTCTCATGGTTATCATGGATAGCGGTATTGCTCGTGGGCGCGTACGCACGACGGCGACGACGACGGAGTCGCGCATCATGGCGGCCATACTCCAGATAATAGGTTGACAGAGACATGCAGCCTTGGTTTACCGTGTACTTTTTTGATATTGGACATCCATGTTATGATCAATTGACACCTGTCAAAACAAGGTATCCGCTGACCAGTATCACGTGACCATATCGCGGGCTCAAATTTACAGCTCATCGAGGTCACGTGTTTTTTGAAGTTGACCGAGTGCTGGTTTTCGATTGGATCGCGGGTTCATGTCAGGTTAACTCGTTGAAAACAGGAGAGGATTGTTCGGAAACCGGTTAACTCTAACGCAGGATTAAAAGTTAACGGAATTATATCTTTTTCTTCTATACAAACGTTTTTTGTTGCTTTGTTGTATATGGTGATTATTAAAACTCGAAACAGAAGGCCAAACAATACACAGAAAACCTCACCGCAAAGCCGAAGTTACAAAACTCAAATCAAAATTCTACCTTTTCCCGGGTTAGTTTAGTCGGGCTCTGAACAACCTGGCCCAGGAGCTACGCTTTTAGGCTGGCCTAAATCTATATATTAATATTGTTTAGCATGAGAGAGGATGATCATTTTCTCTTGTGCTGGGATAATTCGGCAAAATTGGGAGCAGCACTAGCAACATAACATGTCACTTTTAGGAGCACAATGAGCCAAGGCCTACGCGCTAATGACCATTCTTGCCCCCAGAGGCGGCGAATCTTTTGGTCAAGATTAGCCTGCGTAGCTGACGGGATTTCGCGCGCGAGTGCGTTTGTTTTGGCGGCCGTGAACGCGAGTGGCGAAGCCCCGAGGAGACCACTGCACCCGCTCACAAATCCCGCCAGCTACGTGAGCTAGGTCGGGTTTATCATACTGTTTTGTAGAATGTACACTTGAATCGTTCGGCTTGCCATCAGAGTAGCAAGAAATCCCTTGTATTCATTGCTTCCATTCATGCTGACTTTTAACAATGAATTCATTGGGTGAGCAATAAATCGAATCGTACACTAGACAAAACTGTTCTGGATCGACGTTTTACAGCTAACCGATGAAAACAAGCAACGTGACGAAATAATTCTGTGTCTTTAACTTTATTAAATTCCACACATGTAGATCACGCAAGGAAGACTTGCGTTACAGCGTACCCAAATTTCAGGAAATTTGCTAACTGAATCACAGAAGTACAGAAGATTACGTGATTTCTGAGAAAAAAAGAGACATATTTTGCATCGACATAGAAGAGTTAGACTAGTGTTGTTGTGCAAAGAACACGTTATGTGTTTGTGTATTTTTTTTTATCACGATTTCGACAACAAAGCATGAGGAAGGTCCAGTAATCCATCTAAACAGCGGTTTAGAGAATCAAAGACTGAAACTGTGATGCTACCACCGAAGGGTCACAAGGCAAACCAACACGAGTTACTTTATGCTGGTGTGCAAGAATTATAATGTCAGAAAATGGCAAGCTCCTGGTAGATGAGCCCAAAAACGGGTCCGGCAACTTTTTGAGAAGTACAGATAGTAGTGTCTGAAGTCCTTGGCTTCGCTTAAACGCAGAAGCATTTCGTGGCTGGTGCGAAGTGCGAGCTACCAGCCGCCATCTTCAAAACTGCTGGGAAGACCGATATGGTAGATCTAGTGGCAAGATAGGCTCGATCACTAGCCGCTGTTCGGGAAAGGAGCCCGCGGAGGGACGCAGACCAGACACGAGAGAGCGGCGGAAATCCAGCCTAGTGGCAAGACGAGTTTTAAGAAGACGAATTTCTGAAGACAGCATAGCATTTCAGTGGCCAAATAATAAGTTTTTAAGTCCTTCTAGATTTCGTCGAATTCTTGACAAGAAATCCACAAACACGCAACGATGATCTTCGCAAAGCAACCCTCTTTTCTCAGAAATCACGTGATTTTTTTGCATACTTTTGCGATTTAAGTACACTGTAACGCAAGTGGTCGTGATCTATACTAAAAATACCTTTTCATGTGTGGAATTTAACAAAGTTTTAGGCAATCATAAAATTATTTGTGTCGCTTTGTTTGTTTTGATTTTTTTTTTATTTTTCTGATGAATAGTTTCGCCAGAAGCACATAACCCATGCTTCTGGTTTGGCCTGGTTTCACGATTTATTCGAACACTAAGGTGTGATCAAAACAAACGAGGCCTTTCATCACATTGCTCCGTGTCTTCCAGTCTACCTGACTCAAATAGTTTCCATGTTTTGACACGTGATCAGATTTCTGCACTTTGTCCTAAGCTTGAAGTGTGGATAAAAAACAACATGGTGCGCGCTTCGCGGAAAAAACACTAAATATGGAGAAAGGTGAGTTGATTATAATCAAGCTACACTAGAATTAGTCCACGTTCACATATTGAGCAACATCTGTAGAACCAGCAGAATATCGAACCTGAGAAATATTATCACGGACAGAGATGACGCACTTGCGAGAATGTAAACTGAGAATTAACCGATTTGCCATCATCTCTATACATTCAGTACATTAGCAACATAGAAAGTTTTCGTGTGGTTTGTGGAGTGTTTCATTGGAGGGTTTAGTGACATATTTACGTAAGAGACTGAGACACGATTTTCTTAGTGCGATTTTCAAACAAATGCCCACTGTATTGCCCGCGACATCAAGAAGGTTCGAAGACGGCTGATAAGGGATTTTTCCCTTGACCTTTAGATTTCCTTTGGTCACTGAATCATTTACAGTCAGATGTATCCATTACGACTGGGAAAAGTTATGTTTCTTGAGAAATTCGCGGGTTTTTTCACAATTCGTTGTCAAAAATTGCCATTGACCCAACTCTTCGACAAATCTACTCTATCGATGGTTAATTTGTTTCAATTCCGGATCCATAACTGACGGCATGGCCGGGTTACGGCGTAAAACTTAAGGCCGCTCGAAATTTTGTGCAATTTCTGTACTGTCGGCCTCGACTGATAGTGAGAGATTTCGCTACCACTTGGAATTTATATTAACCCTGATTAATCATCAGCTTTTCCATTTTCTGCACCGACCTGATTTTTGCCTGGTTAAAATAAACACATGTATTGAACGTGCGTGACATTTTCTCATACTTTCACTGTCACAGTCTTTGAAGATTCAGCTTGTCGTACGCTAGAGCTCGTCCGCGGCTCGAACTCCTTTCCAGACGCGACCCCTACAGTATGGATTAAAGGAGATTGCTGGCCTCCTTATGGAGAAATCGTTACCAGATATCGTCTTTGTGGTGCTACTAAATTGAACGTCTTTGTGGATTGTGTCGAGGGACAATCAGAGTTAACGTTTGGATTAATATCCCCGAACGAGAGGTATCTTCAGTTTCCATTCAGTTACTAAGTTGTTATTATAAGGTTTTATTATTCTTAATTTTTATTCTGATGTTTACCGCTTAGTTATTTTATTGGTCAGTTAATTTTACCCATGTTTTAGATATTTCTACCTTTTTTTAAAATAATTTTTATTGGTGACATATTTTGAAAATCATTGTAAAGCGCCATTGGATAGTGATAGAAATAGCGCTATATAAATTAAGTATTATAACAGGACTGAGTGGAGTCCAATTCGGTCTGTAATCACACGAGTAATTAACAAAATCGGACGACCGCGAAGCGGGAGTCCGATTTGTTAATTACGAGTGTGATTATAGACTGAATTGGACGACACGATGGCCTGTTACTAATTAATCATAACAATTACAATTGCCCACAAAAGTAAAAATTCATTTGAAAAAGAGCTTTTAATAGTCATTTTTAAACATCATAATTAAAAATATGGAGAATAGCTTGCAAAATGGCAAAACAAACACCAGAGACTAAACCTCCACAGTTTTACAAAGGCAGTCTCTTGAATTGGTTACTATAGTGATCGTAATCAATGTTGTGATTGGTGGATTTAGTGAAGAGGACTTAAAATGATGGGCTCATGTAACTGTCCAATCACAGGTGTCCGATTATAGCCAACTGTCCGATTACACTNGATATCGTCTTTGTGGTGCTACTAAATTGAACGTCTTTGTGGATTGTGTCGAGGGACAATCAGAGTTAACGTTTGGATTAATATCCCCGAACGAGAGGTATCTTCAGTTTCCATTCAGTTACTAAGTTGTTATTATAAGGTTTTATTATTCTTAATTTTTATTCTGATGTTTACCGCTTAGTTATTTTATTGGTCAGTTAATTTTACCCATGTTTTAGATATTTCTACCTTTTTTTAAAATAATTTTTATTGGTGACATATTTTGAAAATCATTGTAAAGCGCCATTGGATAGTGATAGAAATAGCGCTATATAAATTAAGTATTATAACAGGACTGAGCGGAGTCCAATTCGGTCTGTAATCACACGAGTGATTAACAAAATCGGACGACCGTGAAGCGGGAGTCCGATTTGTTAATTACGAGTCTGATTACAGACTGAATTGGACGACACGATGGCCTGTTACTAATTAATCATAACAATTACAATTTCCCACAAAAGTAAAAATTCATATAAAAAAGAGCTTTTAATAGTCATTTTTAAATATCATAATTAAAAATATGGAGAATAGCTTGCAAAATGGCAAAACAGACACCAGAGACTAAACCTCCACAATTTTACAAAGTCAGTCTCTTGAATTGGTCACTATAGTGATCGTAATCAATGTTGTGATTGGTGGATTTAGTGAAGAGGACTTAAAATGATGGGCTCATGTAACTGTCCAATCACAGGTGTCCGATTATAGCCAACTGTCCGATTACACTGTCCGACTACAACTTTGCAGATTAATTAGAGCAAAATAGAGCAGTTTATGCACTAATCTCATTTGAGGAAATTGTAATTGTTATGATGATGATGATGATGATCATTATTATTATTATTATTATTATTATTCATTCATTCATTCATTCATTCATTCATTCATTCACTCTTTCATCATTTACCGATTTTTTTTTACATAAAGCGCTAATGATAACAGACTCAAATATCAGTTGAAGCATAACTGGCTGAACGTTTTCAAGGTCTACTCCCGCAATCAAGACAACATTCTGACAGTGAAGGCAGTGACTCATAAAATATAATTCATAGCACATGATATAGTTATATAAAATGACAATATTATTAGCAGAATCTTAATGCAGTCGACTCCCGATAANACTACTCCACACAGCACTGCAGCATCACACCAGACCACTTTACACCACCTCACTCCACTCATCCTCACTCCACACTACCCACTCTGACCCCCACGATATCATTTCATACCAGACCATTCCACTCCACTCTAGACAACAGCTTAACTCATTGCACCACATCAGCTTACGTTAAGAGCTTGGTTTCACTATTTGTTATTTGAGTTTCTTTGTTCTGAAAATTAAGATTTTCTTGGTAATGCTCTTCAGAGACACCCCTGCTCAGCCAATACAGCATCAGCCCACATCATGTGCGTGGAATCTGCCTCCTAATAAATAACATACCAGACTTGTTGGAAGCTGAGAAGCAGCTCACGGACCTGTTCAAGTATCTCTCCTTTGACGTGCAAGTCCGACGCAGTCTGAAAAGGAACCAAATTAACGAGGTCGCTGAAGAGTTTGCAAACAAAGATCACAGCAAATTCGACTCATTTGTCTGCATTGTCATGTCATTTGGTCAAGGTAATGACATTAATGGTGTCGATGGAAGGAAGGCAAGCCTTGAGGAGGTGATGACCGAGTATACGGCAACAAACTGTCGAACTCTACGGTGTAAACCCAAGCTGTTTTTTGTTCAGCGATTTACAGTCTTGAAACCCTCTAAATTTGAGCATGGTTTAACCCAATCGCAGTGTTGCACAGATAAAGGGGTGGAGATGCGATCACTTTGTCCCCGTACCAATACCTTCGGAGGTAATTGTCCAGAAGAAGCCGACTTCCTGCTAGCCTGTGTGACCTCAGCAATTTGCAAAGCCAACCCAGGACCGGATGCTTTGTTTATTCAGGTTAGAAGTTTCGTAAAATGATTGAGAGGGCCCTTTGCAGTTAACGACCACATAGTACAAAATCTGCCATTTCTAAACTTGGCTGGTTGATGTTTGGAATGGAGGCTATGGCAGCTTTTTGCCAATCGGCATAACACTGAGATTTTGTGTCATGTGAACATTAGTTGATTGAGGCTGCGGTTTTCAGCAGTGATGTTGCTAACAGTGGCGGATCTAGGGGAACGGCCCGGGGGGCCTAGCCCCCCTCTTATTTTGGGTAAAAAAAGAAAAAATCACAGACGGAAGAAAAGCCGGCATGGCAGGCAAAACAAATCGCCCCTCCCCCCCCCCCCCCCCCCCCCCCCCCCCCCCNNNACAGAATAGAACATCTTTCTTAATAATTAAATAGGAAAAAACACCCCTCCTCCAAAGCATTATAAGTGACATGCACTTGTATACACACCTATTTCACTTGAATATTATAATTGGCACTACTAACAATGTAAATACTGTAGTTGTAAACACACTTATATTATATTATATTATATTATATTACTTATATATTATAATTAGCACTTGTAATAATATAAATACTGCTCTTGTAACGATGTAAACAGTGTACTTGTAATCACACTTATATTACCTATACACAATAATTAGCACTTGTAGCAATGTAAATACTGTACCTGTAAGCACATGCAGATAACAAATAAAATTAAAAAATATATATATTCAAAACAGTATCGTATTTCAGTGGCCAAATAAAGTTGTAAGTCTTTCTTATGCTTTCTTGCCAAAATCTTGCCCAAAAATCCACCAGCACGCAAAGAGTTTCTTCGCAAAACAACACTCTAAATGTGACTCTTATTTCTCAGAAATCACGTGATTTTACATACTTTGGTGACTCTGTTACCAAATTTGGACAAGGAGTAACGCGAGCCTTTCTTGCGTGATCCATATAAAAATAAGTTTCCATGTGTTGAATTTAGTAGAGTTTAAGACAATCACAAAATTAGTGGCGTCACTTTGTTTGTTTTAATTTTTTGTGGTAAAACGTCGATCCAGAACAGTTTTGTCCAGCTGACTATTTTCACGGCGAGCCATTAAAACAACGAAATTATCTTGCTGCGATGAACGAATTTTGTTTACGGATATTCGACTTCTCCCTACCCAAAATATTGAAAATCGACTGCCGTCAACTGAGAATATCGTCGTTAATTTCCTCTCGACCGCATTGTGTCGTCCACATTTTGTCATCCGCCATAAGCCATCCGCCATTCACCGCCATTCGGTCCTCGTTTTATAGACACCCCTCATAAACTACCTGCTTTCTGAGAAGACCTACTTGCAGGCGCCTACGGCGCGCGCTCGCGTCAACCAACGTTGAGCATTGCCGGACTTACGCATCATACAACTTCAGTGAGTTTCAGCGTGAGATTTAATGAAAATCTTGTGAAGAATCAAAATATGGATTTCAGATAATGAAAAATTTGAAAAAACACATGATAATTTTCTGAAGAATCAATAAAAATATCTTAGTGGATTTTGGGCAGATTTTAAAGCAGCTCAAATACTGAAAAATTGAAGGTTTGAGCGTAAAAATGAGTTAGGGCCTTATTTAACTTTCACGCTTTCTATTTCATTTTAAGCCCAAAAATCAACAATCCAAAATAGCGTACTTTCCTCGTCATCACTTGATAGATTTTGCTAATGCATTTATTAATAAGAGAGGGTCTCGCAAGACCTTTAAAAAGTTGCTTCTTTTTCATAATTCATGCAGATCTTGTGAATTTTCCAGGGACTCAACTTGCCCACTACAGAATCAGGCCATATTGTTCTCGTGGAATCTGCCTCCTAATAAATAACGTACCAAAATTAGCGCTTGAGGCGGAGAAGCAGCTCAGGGATCTGTTCAGGTACCTCTCCTTCAACGTAAAAGTCCGGCGCAGTCTTAAGACGTTACAAATGTACAAAGTCGCCCAAGAATTTGCAAAGAAAGATCACAGCAAATTCGACTTTTTTGTTGTCATTATCATGTCACTTGGTCAAGGTAATGACATTTGTGGCGCTGAAGGAGGGAAGGCAAGCCTTGAACAAATGATGACCGAGTACACAGCAACAAAATGCCCCTCTCTACGGGGCAAACCCAAGCTGTTTTTTGTCGAGCGAGTTACATTCGTGAAACCCTCTAACGTCAGGGATGGTTCAACCCAAGCGCAATGCTCCACAGATACAGAGATAGAGACGCAACCAGCTTTCCCCCTTGTCTTCAACGTTGGGAATAATTGTCCTGAAGGGGCTGACTTCCTGATAACTTGGATGACTTCTGCAGTTGCCAAAGCCAAGCCAGTGCCGGAGGTTTTGTCTATTCAGGTCAGAATTTTAGTAAAAGAAGTTAATGAGCCCTTTGTAGCCAACAACCACATGGTAACAAAATCTGTCATAGCTAAGCTTGACTGGTAGAAACTTCTTTTATCGCCCATGATTGAGCCCGCGATTTTCAGTAGTGATGTTGCTGAGCTACAATACTTGTCAAGATGGTATCAAAATAGCGTTAGAGCTTTTGCGGTGCACGTGGAACATTACTCACTTCCTAGTACTATAGGTTGAGGGTGCCACTGACTTCACTTCACTTCACTTTACTTTGCACTTACATTTGGAATGACAATATTAGCATAAAAAAGAAAAAAAAGATACGTATATAACAATTAAAGGTGACAATGGTATTTAGTTTGTGCATGAAGGCTAATAGAACCGCGAGGTTATCGAGTTAGCCTCCATCTCGTTTGAGTGAACATAAAAAAACATGGGAGTAGAAGGACGGATTACTAAAGGAAAGAGCTAGAAGAATTGTGGAAACTTACGTTTGATATTGCTGAGATAGAACATAGACTGGGATCGCAGTTTCTCGACTGGACCGACACATTTTCAACAGAGTTATTTTCCAGTTCCAAATGATTATAGGAAGTTAAATGTTCATGGAACACGCTCGTACATTTTTTGGGTCATAAATTGCTTAGTGTTTTTGCAGGTGACGTGTAATTTTCCCTACAATCAACAAATGTGTCAATTTATTTTTGGATGATTTGATTAATTGATTAAAGAAAATTACTGAAGTTAGGATCGCGTAATTTTGCATGTTGACCGTTTCGCGTTGAAACAGTTAAACACAGTAGTGACTCAATAATACTCCACAACGAAATCAAACCATGAGATAAGATACACGAAAAAATTACAAAAATTTCATAAACGTCATCATCCAAAGCCGGCCACGGTTGAAACGTTTGGTAGCAACAAATCACAACCATTGATTTCCTTATATTGTTTTTTTTTTTATTATTTAACAGGTGTTGATCGATGCCATTAGAAATTGGAAGAGCTTCCATCTGCTTGATATTTTGACTAAAGTGAATGCGTGTATGGTAGACAAACATCGTTCAAACAGAGTCATGGCCGCTCAAGTGCCATATCAGAATCATACACTGAGAGCTAAAGTGCACCTAGGTATGAAAGCATGAATGGGCTATGAAATGCATGCGAATAGAATAGCTTTGATTTCAGTTTAAATTTACTCGAATTCAGTTACACGGAAGATCAAAATAAAATAACATAAGATATCATTAAAGGTAGCTTAAGGTGGATGTGGAACTATGGCCTGGGGGGCTGGAGTCAAAATTTGGCTGGGATTCATGCATATTTTGTCATTGCATATCGAATGGATTCGCACCTGACAACGTTGAGACTCGCCCGGTTCATACAGTGTCTCACATTGAGTCGCCACGCCTTGTAATGGCTGTGTCAATTCCAAGCCCGTCCATATCCTCCCTCGGGGATTTGACGGGCATAGGGCATTTTGTTTTCAGAAGGTGGCAAATGCCCCACCGTGGGGCAGCTGACGCAAACAAAATCCCCATGGTGGGGCCGTGAGAAAAATGAAAATGGCCCACCCACGGGATAGCGTCAAAACTATATATTATAGCGATATTGCCGCGTACTCATGGACGCTAATAGAATCTTTTGGATCCACGTTTACCGCAAACGGCGAAACGGATAGGAGTCGTGTGACCAGAGCCAGACGTCATGTTTGAGGTTTTCGGCTTGCGTTTTGAACGTCAAGAGGTGGGTTTTCACGTGAGTCATTTACCTCAAGGTTTGTTGCTTTGAATTTTTTTCCATGCGATTGATCGTTTTAATGTTTAATTTAATAAAGCGGGGACCTACAACCTGTCAAATGTCCGTCAAATTCTCGAGGGGGGATGGGGGCATGGGCGGGCTTGGAATAGTCAGCGCTATAATCAAATACCTGTAATTTAATTTACTCGCCGTCCAATGCATTCCACTCCATTCTATCTATTTATTTCACTTATGCTTTACTCTCAGTCTTTACTCTTAAGTCCTGTTCAACTGTGTCGCGATCACACGTGCAAGCGAAAGTGGATTCTGTTTACCCGCCATTTGTAACGAGTGATAGCTAAAATGAGTTAAAGCAGGAAGAAATTAGGGATACGGCCTATATGGGGATTCACTCCCTTACCTTGATCTTCCCTTGCCATAAGCTGTTTTACATCAATTGGGCATTTGTTTAATGCTATTATCGTAGGATCATATGACAAACAGTGGTGGTATACAAAGAGCTGGAAACTATTATCAGGCACCTACAACAACAATGAATCAATGAATTTATTGTACAGCGTCTAATGCATGTAAATAGCGCTTCAAAACTTATTAAATTATTATTATTATTATTATTATTATTATTATTATTATCAACCAAATGTGTCCTTCTGCAGGTTTGCCACCCTTTCCAGACCAAGATGCAGGTTCAGCAATTCCAGGTACACCCTTAAAAACTCAAACTGCCTGCATTCATGTTAAATGCATTTTATTTACGCAATAAAACTTGACTACTAAGACTGTCCTAGGTTCATCCCTTGTTCTGTTTACGTAATAACCGAAGACGTGGCTGGTTATGTCGACCTTTTACTTGAAAACTAATTTACGAAATACAAATCCTCCGCACTGGTCTCAGTCACATATTTTGTATTAGTATAAATCTACTAGCGTTCTGTCACGAATGCCGTTCTCTGATTGGCTACGCCACTCAATATCTATTATGTGATAGATAGTGAGTAGCGTAGCGGTGTGCCCTTGTTAAAAAATGACGGTCGCTTCATGGCGTTTTCGAAGTGGCTGTGAAGAGGATTTAGATAAAGTTTAGAACCGTGACTAGTGGATTTATACTAAAACAATTAGATTATGAGCCCGAGATTTCTATGCGTGATAGTTGACGAGGGCGCAACCCAAGTCAACTTTCACGCTTTAGTAGAATTCTACTAGTACACTAATGCAAATGCTGAAATCTGTTTGGCTGAGCTACTCGTATACTATCAACCATTAGAGTGCAGTGGCTGTTGGTAGTCCACAAAATGCGACGTTTTTATCGTTTTCCGGAAGTTTTGGAAGAAAGTTTAGATGTAAATGGATAATTAAATTCCTGAGAAGACTAAAAGAAGGACATTAGTGGTTTCTTGACTTTAAAAACTTGAAATTGATGCACGCGTAAACAACTGCAAATTTACCAAGGACAATTCGTTGCGTGCGATATTGTTAAAGCGTAAAGTTCAATAATGCGTAGAAAAATAATTAGAAACCGTTATTTGCGTTTATTTCAATTAGAATTCTACTAAAACAATTAGATTGCTCGCTCTTGATTTCTATCAGGCGATAGCTGATTCGGCCATCGGCCTCATCAACTGTCACCTCATAGAAATCTCGAGCTCATAATCTAATTGTTAAATTTATTGTTTATTTATTATTTATTTATTTAACTTTATTTATACACAGGTAAAACAGGACTTAAAGTAAATACTAAAATTGTATTAATTACATTGTTTAAAAGGTACTAATCTACCACTGATTAAATCTAATAACAACAAAAATAAAAACAGTAACGAAGTGCCTGCTTGCCATGAATGCCGTGTGATTAACCCCTGCAGCCGGATTTAAAACTAGCAAGAGTTTCTGCTTGCCGCAGATTGGTAGGTAAGCTGTTCCACAGCACCGCACCACCATAGCTGAAACTGTTTTTTTAGAAAATTGGTTGGGGAGAGTGGAAAAGCTAGTTTGCCCTTACAGTTCCTAAGAGAATAGGGAGATATTACACTCCGATCAGTAAACATTGATTTCAGATAATCAGGGGCGAGACCATTAAGAGATTTATAGACCATAGTGGCTGTTTTTAATTCTCGTTGAAGATTACGTTTTTGCCAGCCAAGTCTAACAAAGAGATCATCCGCATTGGCATCATATGAAGAAGAGGTCAAAATACGTAGCGCGATTCTGTAGTTTTTGTAGTTTGATGGCAACAGATTTATTGCAATTACCCCATACGTCGCTACAGTAATCGAAATGAAGTTGAACTAAAGCATTATAGATGCACAAGAGCGTTTCAAAAGGAACAAAAGACCTGCTTCTCTTCAAGATGCCAATGCAGGAGGCAATTTTTTTTTTTGAAATATGTTCGATATGTACGTTCCAAGTTAAGTTTTCTTCTATATATACTCCAAGAGATTTCGTAAATTCTACTTGTTTAATAGAATTACTGTCTCAAGCTCATAATCTGATTTTTAACTAATACTAATCGGGAGATTGAGGTTCTGATGTTGACTAATCATTACTATCACACTTATTTACCGCGCTAAGGCTACAGTATAAGAATACCGCCTTAGAACGGGCTGACATTCTACCCGTTCCGTCTTGAACAAGTTTGGTTAGTAAAAGATTTATTACACTACTCAATGATTAAAAAAAAGAGCAGTAGAAATCTTACAAGTACAACGCTTTGAGAATATTAGACTCGCGGTAAAACCAACTAATTGGCTAATTTTCTGGTCTGCTCGATCAGCTCACTTGTCTTAGTCGTGTAACTGAAGTACTGTTAAAAAATCTTGTTACCAGGATAATTTCAAACTACATCACTCTTAAGAATTAAATATTTTCAATGACACAGGCTATCAATTTACAGATGATATAATCGATGCCCAGCGGAATCGCTATGAGCTCGAAAAGCGTCCCCGAGGGTATTGCGTCATAATAAACAACGTCAAGTTCCGGAACAGGAAAGATGATCGTCCTGGAGCCGTAGAAGATGAAAGAAGTCTCAAACAGATCTTCGATGATCTTTTCTTCACGGTAATCGTCAAAACAGATTTAACGAAACATCAGATGGAGAATGTGGCGGCGGAGTATGGGGCTAAAGATCATACCACATTTGACGCGTTTGTGATGATCGTCATGTCACATGGTGGGGATGGTGACTGCATTATGGGTGTGGACGGAAGGGAGACATCAGTGAAGAATTTGATGGTCGAGTTCCAAGAAACCAAGTGTCCATCACTAAAGAAAAAACCCAAGGTGTTTATCATCCAAACCTGCAGGGGCGAATCAGGGTCCCCAGCTTATAATGTTAGTTCACAGGCGGTGCCATCGACATCTACTCAGGTGAATTACGAGCTTTGCGATGCTTCTCTTTTACCCGACTCCACTCTCCCAAGGAGTGTGTTTCCTGCAGAGGCTGACTTTGTCTTGGCCTTTGCCACTGTGCCAGGCTACGTATCCTACCGGTCTCCAACGGACGGAACCTATTTTATACAGGTTAGAAATATGAGGATTTACCTCTCGCTAGCTTTTTTCAGTAATTAGAATTCAAGATGATCAAGAAAGCGGAAGGTGGCCTGAGGCTAACTCTCTAGGTTGTGTAATTACGAAATAACACTTGTATTATTTTGCACTGACACGGTTTCTGGACAGGGGATTTGGTTAGGCTTGTGTTTCTCTCCACCCAGATGTGTAAATTGTGCTGAAGAGTTTGTTTGATTATGACACACTTGTGCGATAACGTACTACGCTGTTTAGGAGTAGTAGCAATAATCTCAGTCGGGTTCTGCATGCTAAAAAACCGCAGTCACGTTAGCCATTAGTTATATCTTGTATCTTATTTTTGTTATATCTTCTACTCTCTTCAAATCAGTCTTTGGTCAAGACTATCAGAGAACATCGTCACCATCATCACTTTCTTGAGATCCTGATGCAAATCACTAAGCTGGTGGTGAAGAAGGAAGAGGAAGGAAGCAGGAGGAGGCCTACTGTTCAAGTCCCAGCTTCTATGCACACACTGACAAAATGTCTGTACTTGTGAAAGAGAACGAAGGCAGAGCTATGGCAAGTCGAGGAGGAGTTAGTGTAAGTAATTGATCCCGAGAATTGTTCAAGAACACCTGTAGAAAAGTATATCTAACAGCCAGTCATGGCTTACCGGGTCTTGTTGTAAATGGTGGCGAGTGACTTTTGATCTTTGACTGTAGCTGTATGAAAAGAAAACTGCAATATATTTAAATCAAAATATCGTACAAAATCACAACCTTTGTTAGCAAAGTAGGGACTTCAAATAACAATTTGCGTAAAGGAGACGCGTTACTCTAGTTAAAGGAGCTAGGTCTCTGTATTTTAGGCAATTCGTAACTTCATATTGCCTGAAATCAGTCTTTTATTGGCAAAATCTAGGCCACATATCAAACAGCGACGATTTTTGAGTGTGATAGAAATACACTTTAACTTGAAAACATCAGGCTGCTGGTTTTCAAGATTACCCTAATGCCATCTTGTTTAATTTTGCGCTTCTCTAGCCCCATTTGCCCTCCATGTATTTCTTTTGAGTTCTCAATTCTAAAGTATTAAGCCATAATCGTGAGATTTCAGTTCAAGATTCCGTGACCAGGTGGTGAGAGCCAAAACTGCCTAAAATTCGATGGCCTAGCCCTTTAAAGTGACCAAATAATTCTTTGTGCATTAAATAAATCAAGAACATGACAATCAAATAGTACACGTAGCAGCCAGAGTAAAAATTACAGTTTCTCTTACGATGACTTGGTCGATATGAGGACCTGGAAGCAAGCAAGTCCATTTCTGTATTATTTGCCGTCCAGATTTCGTTCTGCAAAACAACGGAAGCTTTTCAGTTTACAACAGTTGAGATATTATTGTGGTCTGGGATAATATCGAAAGCGATTCTCTGCTTTTCTTTGTCGATTTATATGTTGTGGGCACGAAATATTCTTAAAGAAGCAAGAAGTGTAGAGAGAAACAAAAACCGTTGGCATTGAACTGAAGGCAAGTAAATGGAGACGAAGAGCTTCTGAAAACTCCGTGTAGGGGTACTCCTAGAAAAATGGGTAGGGGTGTGCGGCTCGCTTTTCAAAACCCTTACTCCATTTATGACCAAAATCTGCGATTCTCCCCACCCATTTATGACCTGGCCAAAAATTCGATTCCCTAATTAAGAAGTGACCCATAAGTCAATTCCCTGTTTCAGAACTACCTTATAATTAGTTCCCTAGTTCAGATCAATGTTAAATTGCTGTAAACATAATTTGTGAGGAGCTTTTGTGTATGGTCTTATCGATTATGATGTAGTAGTAGAAGTACATTCTTCTTTAAAATATACCCATATCAAGACTAGAGTGCAAAAACCATACCTTATCTATGACCAAAATCGCCAAAATCGATACCCTATTTATGACCAGACCATACCCTTTGGGGCCGCACTTACCTATATACCCCATATAAGGGAGTATCCTCCCTCTCTGGGTTAAAAGTGAAAGGGAGGCACTTGAAACTGTCCAGAATGATCGAAGGAACCTTGCCAACTCCAGCTCACCGTGACACGACTCGACACGACTGAATTCTTAGCTTCTCAATTGTTCCGTTCAAGTCCGTTCAATTATATCGGATTCCGTTAGCGCTTTTAAAAGATATTTTTTAGCATTAGGAGGTTTTTAGTCAACTCCTGTTCAGGATTATTTACCTCTTCATTTCAAACTTTTAGAGCTGATCATTATGAGAAAAAACTTAACTTTGCAATTGTTATGCCCAAAATGTTTTTTTTCTAATCAAGCTAAGGGAAATCTTCTAACTTTTCAATTTTCCGAAAAAAAAAGCAAAAACAAAATTTCAATTTTCTGATGACCGTACTTCTGAGACGCTATGGTACATGTAGAGAAATCTTGTGCAAAAGTTGTGTTTGTAAGTGAAATAGGGGAAATTGTTTGTTTTAATGGTGCTATGCTACGGTTTAGTTAAGTCTTATTCTACGATGCATAACAACAACAACAACAACAAAAACGCGTAAGGTGTATTGATGAAACAAGGAAGAGTAAGAGTATTTAGACCCTTGCAGGCGAGTGTAATTTGACGCTAATGTTGGGCTTGGGAAAAGAGGAAAAAAGTCCTAGGTAACTGGAATAAAGCGGAATGACGAGTGACATGGGAGGTAGAAGAGAAGGAAAATTACGCCTGCTTATAGTTTTCGGCAATTTTTTGTTGTTGGGGAACTCCGTACGTCCTCTGGAAACGAAGTCTAAGACGGTGTTTCTATTGTAACGCTCATTGATATCGCTGATTTTGTGTTTATATCGATCATTAATTAGAGGCGTTTCGCTGATTTCAAAGTCGTTTGCGGACAGGCGTTTTACTCTTTCCTCCTCGCCCTCGCTACGGCCTCGTTCTCTCGTCCCAACCCTCT